AGCTCTGCTCTTTCATTAGCTGAGCGTTATTTTCTGGTTTTTTGACTTAGGTTAGAATAGTCTTTCTTGAGATTTCTGGCTGGCTTTCAAAGGCTGAAACATGGTTTAAGCTTGGAGCTGTGTGATATTGCTGTTATGTGCTGTTAATTTTACTGTTTTTCCTTGCTGCTTTCTGTTGTTCTCAGATATTCCTCACTTTGTTTTTGCTGTATCCAGGTACTTCTGTGAACCTTTGAGTGACAAAAAATGAAGCTCTAAGCATGTGTTTTAGGATGGATGTAATATGAAGTTGATGTTCAAATGTTAAACTTCTGTTTTTCCGTACATATGATTCTTCGCCTTTTCGATGATGCCAAAAGGGGGAAAAGGTTGTGTTTTACACTTTGAACGGTGATGTTTATAACCTAATGTACCTGGTCCTTGTTGATAAATGATAAAAAGGAAAATTGTTTCTAACATTGTGTTAATGTTGAGATGAGTTGAAGCAGGGCCTAAGCTTAAGAAAATCACAGGGTATGTCATCATCAAAAAGGGGGAATTTGTTAGCCTAAGTGAAGGTTTGTTTTGAAGATTGACAAAGGAAGCTCAGGCATGAACCAGGTCCATCCCATGTGTGCATAGAAACTGGCAGATTCGAGCATATGGGATGCAAGTGAAGGGGATAAGCTTAAGTTGGTATAATTGATATCTCCTGATCGAAAAGGTTGCATAATTGATAAGGAGAAGGACTCCTTAATCAAAGAGAACACTATCCAAGATAGGGAAGGAGTTAGAAGTTGAGATTAACTAGAACTCTTCCACCAAGGAAAAGTAGCATTAGAACTCTAGTTATTTTCTACTCTACTAACTCTATAAATTGCACGATGTTCTCACTTTACAGGTAATGCACAAACGCTGAAGTTAAACATGAATTGAAAGCAAAATAGCAAGGTTTTTTGCAAGCAGTTCGTGTGTGATTCAAGTGTGCAAACCTGAAGCTACATGAACCAGATAGAAGAACTAGTTCCAAGTGTTTGTCTTTTATTCTAGTTCAATTGTAGTAGGTGTTTTCATATTATACCTTTCAGCTTTATCTAGAGGCAATTGTAATAGGTACTCATAGTATTCAAGTTAGAGTTAACTTGAAGTTGCGCAACAGTTAGAGGTTGTTTGCCACAACGGGACTAGAGTTAATCCTAGGTTTACAAAAGTACTTTGTACATGCAAATTTTGGCTCTGTGATTTAGTGGAGAGTTTGGGAAAATCCTACTGAGAAGTAGGTCGTGATTTTTTCACCTTTGAGCCAGGTGTTTTTCACGTAAAATACTTGTGTTCTTTACTTTCCGCGTTTACTATTTCAGCAATAGTAGGTTGAGGAACACGAAGAAGAATAGGTCCTTCCACAATCAGTCTAAGCGAAAAATTGAACACCACACAAATCACTCCCCCCCCCCCCCTGTGCGGTATTGAAGTTAAAACATCTGCACGCATATCAAAGCAATAAAGTTTACTTTTGTCTTCTAGCTGTTGTTCAAAGTGTTCTTCAACTGTTCATTTCTTTAGTTGCAACGGAGCTCATCTCGTGGGCTCGATCGGAACCGGTTTCCAGCATTCAAACCTAATGGCAGGCTTAATTGTTTTATCACATTTGGTTTGATCGCCTTATTTTTCCTTTAATTCAATTATTTGTTGTTCTTAGATTTCGCTTTAAATTAAATTACGTGTCCTTTGAACCGCGTACAAATTTAATTATTACTCTTTTAAGGGTAAACAAAGATAAGTGAGAGAACGACTCTGTTTGGAACAAAATATATTTACTCCTACTATCAACAGCATAGAGCATAATTTCGACCTTCCATATTACGAATACCTAATTTAAGAGGAATAATAGTAAATCTATCGTATAATCCAACAATAGTTCTCCCAAAATAAAGTACAAAAGGTCACAAACTAAAACTACAATTTTAACCAACAAAATAAAAGTAGCAAAACTAAGAAAGAATACATGGTTTTTTAGCCTCTGCTTCTTCCATTCCAGCCATAGTATCATATAATGGCCTATTTAAGGTCTCAGGCAGGTAAATTACCAGTAAACCACCAGCTATCCCACAAGCTGCAAACACTGCAAATGGTACGCCACCCCCTAAAACAACTACAAGGGGTGCCAAAATTGCCCCCATTTGCGACGCCTGAGTTGCACATCCTAATGCTGCATTTCTCACCACAGTTGGAAACAACTCCATCGAATACACATACAACAAATTATAAGTCCCAGCCATAAAAAATATACCTACAACTCCACACACCATTCGAATGATTTTCCATGCTCCGTAACCTTTCATCAAGCTTCCTGCCAAGCAAAAAGCGCCGCTGAACCACATTGTCCACATTGCTAATGGCTTTCTACCGAGCTTGTCCAACAATAATGCCGTTAAAAAATAGGCAGGCATTTCAGCCATTGCGTTAAGGGCAACGTTGAGGTAAAGATTGGTTCCAAGGTTGACAGCGTTCAAACTCAACCCGTAATAGACAACTGAAACAAAGAAATTAATAATCACAGCTAAGAACAACCGAAACCGCGTTAGAGGAGACCTTAGTACATCTAAAAGGGATCCATTTAACGCTTCTTTGGTATCGGGCTCCAGCTTTGATTTGGATTGACAATGAAGAGCATCATCGTCATTATTCACTTCGCTGTCCACTGCAAGAATAACGCCATCAGGAAGGTGTTTGCCATTGGAAATAGCAATTTTGTGCATAATTTTCATGGCTTCATCTACTTTTCCTCTAACGAGGAACCAGCGAGGTGACTCGTGGAGGAAAGGAAGTATGAGGATAACGAACAGAAGAGCTGGAGCTGAAGAAGCAATGTAGAGAGAGCGCCACGATTGGAAGAAATAAGCAATGGCAGATAGAGAGGCTATTCCAGTAGAGAAAAAATAGAATGTGGACATTCCAGCTACGCCACGCCAGGACTGGCCTATGGGTTCAGTGGCAAGAACGAAAGCACAAAGGCCAGTGCCACCAGTACTGAAACCGGAAAGAAAGCGGAATAAGGTATAAGTCCAGTAGTCCGATGAGAATGCTGTTAGACAACCGAAGATTGCGTTTAAAATGCAAACGATTGTCAGGGAGCCTTTTCTTCCCAATTTGGAGTCTGACAAATGTCCAAATACTCCAGCACCTGAAAACCATTAATTTGAATGATTTTCTTAACATCTCAAAGTCGGTCATATCAAGTACTACTATCAAGTATCCACCCATCTCCAAAACAAAGAATATCTTGCTCATCTATTCATAAAATTTTCAAATTTTGAGGAGTATTAGCAATTCCACACCAAAGTAAATTACAAAACTGTATTGTGTATAGTGCCACATATTTAAACAGAGATGTTAGTTTTACAAGAATAAAACAGTTATTCTTTCTGTTTTATTTTACAAAATATTGTTTACCGGGAAAAGAAGGAACAACTTTGGCACATGCCAACAATACTTTTAATATTTGTGGTCTTAAACGTATTATGATATCTCTATAAACGTATGTAATACTATGAATAAAGTGAAAAATTTAAAGTAGTAAGAAGTTTCAAATATATAAAAGTGTCTTTCTTTTTATATCAAAACAAAAGAGTGGCACGTAAAATAGTACCGGAAGATTAATTATATATCTTTTGTTTAGGTCCTCTGTCTTTTTCATGAATGTCCGATTTTTACTGGAGGAGATTAATACTTCCAAACATATTAGGTAATGTCCTTAAACAGCCAAAACCATTATAATAAAGTAGCACGAGTTATATGTTTGAAGGAAGATAATATCCTATATTATATGCATGGAAAAATAGACGTCGTGTGACAAATACTAGCTTAATATCAAAAGAATGAAGTAGGCAAGTAGCTGGGTCCCACTATAGTATTGCAAGATGCTAGCCAAGAGAAACTTGACAAGACTAACCTACCTGCTCCATACCCTACTTAGTATTCCTAATAAACTATTCATCAACTAAATACACATTGGATAAGTTATCGAAAATTAAGCAGCCTATTCCAGTAGCATACAAGGAAGACCGAATAATTGATGTAGCATATTCTCGATTTTCAATATAATACTGGCCTCAGAGTATATTATTGCATCCCATTAATTAGTTATCGAAAAAGTAAACTCGACTTTCGTTCGTGATAATTAGCCCCAAACACGGGTTTGGTTCTATAGTATTTCCTGACGTCCTTATATTTTACCTTTTGGTCTGATATGTCGTCTACGTCGTTGCTTTTGTCCTATTCAATTAAGTTTGATATACTTGATCTTAATTATTACTCCCTCCACCTTGTCCCAATTTATTAAATTTCGACTGTTAAACAAGTTTATTTTTTATTAAAATTTTCTTATATGCTTTTTAAATAATTTATATTATTAATTATTGAGATTTATAATAATTTTATATAATTTTTAAATATATAAAATTTATTTAAAAAACTTAAAAGTTTTACGTCCGATTTGCAACCAAAGTGAAAATTTAAATTTTAAAATTCGAAATGCATCAAACAACCCAGGACGAAGAGAGTATCAATTTAATCAAACAAAAAGGAAAGAAGAAGTAAGGGAAACACGTCCTCGTCAACTTTGTACAAACTGATCAAAGAAACAACAAAATTGTTGGGATAGAAATGCTTTCGGTGAATCGGGATGCTTCAGCCAAGAAAAAGAAAAGTCATCTCTGTGAAATTATATATGTGGCTGCACCTTGTGGTGGATAATACATTGAAGAAGCATATATTAGTGAGGTACATTAATGTCCACAAGTTAAATGACATATGTTTGCCGTCCCCATTTAACTTTTACTACAAGTACGGATATAACTTATCGTGGCAAATATCATTGTTGTATTTACTTGTCTCATTTTTTATTTCAATTAACTTAGACAATTATTTGTACGTATCAAGTGATCTAATAGTGAAAAAATTATTCTAGTATTAAACGTATAAAAGTTATTTAATAAACAAGGTAACTGCTTACCCACGTGTTTTTTCACTGACAATATAATCAACACAAGTTCAGAATATTGCAGCTCCAAACATGTGTTTTCTCACTAACAGTCAAGCCAATTCAGTATATTGCAGCCCCTCGGTATTGAATATTCCTATTAAATGAAACCATATACTACTGCCTCTATTTATATAATTTGAATAGAAGAAACTAATATTTTTATATCTTTTATGTGTTAATTTAAGATCTCTTATGTGTAAAAATAAAAATTTCTAACAAAAAAGATATTCTTATTAGGTGTTTGTCCTGATTTTCTTAATATATTTGATTTTTCTATTCCTTGAAGGAAGGGTTGCAAATTTATAATATTTGGGTTTTTCTTTTCCTAGAAGAAAATTATAAATCTCCCATATTTGGCTAGTCTTTTTTCTTGGATGAAAAGGTTTCGGACTTTTACAAATCGAGGATCTATCCTTCTCATTTAGTACATCCACAATATAGTCTCTAAGGGTTTGAAAGTCATGTTTAGGATGAGAATTTGTGAGTCAAGTGATAGCATGCCAATTGTGTGCCTCTTTGTAAGGGTGTTCTCTCGATATTTTATACTCTTTTTTATATAGGTGATTGTTCGTCTCCGCCTGTAGACGTAGGTCAGTTGACCGAACCACGTTAAATTTTGTGTCTCTATTAGTATATTTCTCTTTTGTTGTCTGATTTATCGTCGTTCAAGGTTTGCTTTACTAACTTTCGCATGGCACCTGTTTATTTTGATCCTAACAAGTGGTCTCCGAGCGAGGTTCAAAACGGGTTCATCTGGGCTAATTTAGTTCTAGCCACAACCTATTTGACGTTAATCATGATTATTGTTTGAGAAATTTGACCAGGGTGCCACTCACATTGAGACAAACTTTGCGATGGAGATTTAGAGATGCAACCTTTGAAGGTTATGTGAAAAAGGTTGATCAAGTTTATTTATCAGAAAAATTTGGCCAGAGGGAGAATTGTTAGGTGTTTGTCCTGATTTTCTTACCAATATATGATATTTTTATTCTTTGAAGAGGGCTACATATTTACCATATTTGGATTTTTTTTTTCTAGAAAAAAATTATAAGACTCCAATATTTGACTAGTCATCTTGGAGGAAAATGTTTTGGACATATATAAATTGAGAATCTTTCCTTCTCTTAGTAGCATCCACAATGTAGTCTCCAAGGGGTTTGAGAGTCTTGTTTATGGGAAGAATTTGTGAGACAAGATTTAGCGTGTCACTTGTGTGTCTCTTTGTAAGGTTGTTCTCTTGATATTTTGTACTCTCTTTTATAAGGTGGATTGCGATCATCTCCACTTGTGGACGTAGGTCAATAGGCCCAACCACGTTAAATATTTGTATCTTTTTAGTATATTTCTCTTTTGTTACCTGATCATCGATCAAAGACTGCTTTATTAGCTTCAACATGACTCCCGTTTATTTCGATCCTAATAGACACAACTTACACAAACCATTCTATCAAGAAAACGCTGCCTCAAGAATATGCTCCGCTAGTGACTTCTACACGTTTTTGACAAATGCACCTCAATGAGCTAAAGATGTAAAAGATGGTGTTATGTTGTTCTAATTGTAAAAGGTCGCAAGGAAAAGCATACTCTATACGTAACCTCCATGGTTCAAAATGATCAAGACTATAATTTCTATATTTTTCTTCAATTAAATCAGAAAAAAATGCAGAAAAAATAATGAACATACCGATCATGCAGCCAGCGAAAAATAAAGCTTGGACAAGTCCAACTCTGTATTTTTGTCCACATATCAATCCAAACTCCGACACCGTAGAACTTCCAATTCCACTGAACCATTCCCAAGACCCTGGCTCAAGCTCGCACACACTTTTAGCCATTGAATCGCACCCGCGGCTCGTCGAACACCGCCAACCTGGTTCACGATCCGAAAAAATCATAACCATGGTGTGGATCCCCTCTAGAGCCCAAGCCATGCTCGTTAGCAAGAAATGCCTCAACTGCCACCACCCAAACTCTCCGCAATATTTTTCAAACATTTGATCCATTGTTACTTTCTTCGGTTTTGAATATTCGTCCACAGCCGAAGGGATGAGCGGTGACCGGAGGTCACCACCGTCTTGTAAATTTGACATAGTTTCTAAATTTTCTCGTCCGGGATTATTGAAGAGGTTGGCCGATATATATGTGATATTCTTCAGTTCCAGAGTAGTTGGTGGGAAGCAATAAGAATAGGAGCTCTCTTTCTTATAGTGTTATAATTGTAATAAACTTGGGATTTCGCAATTTATCACTATGATAATGTTTCTAACACGATTAGGTGGAAAGATGTTTGCTTATTTGTTAACGTTTAAAACAAACTAAAGGCTTTTTAAAAATGATGAAAATAATAACATGAAGTATTCTTATTTATTTATTTCTTACACTAAAACCCATGTTTATCTCAATAACAGCTCACAAAGATGTTATCACTGTGAATCTTTTTCCCATGTGTTAACTTGGAGAAATTTACCTAGCTATGTGATTATATGAGAGCCTAATTATCACTATTAGCAACATTTGTACTTAATTACCTAGCATAGCCAGATTTTTCAAAACATAGCAACAACTCACAAAAGATGTCATCACTACGAACCTTTTTTACATGAGTTAAATTCATTCTTTTAGATTGCTGAATTTACTGTCCAATTATTATGTACGGAGTGCAATTTCAAAAAATAACATTTGCTACTACGACCAACTTTTTATTGCTTTACCTAACAAATTTAGTATTTTTGATCTTAATATGCTGCTTTAGAAATATTATATACAATTGGGGACTTATAGTTTTAGAGTCGCAAATTATAATTTTATGCTTCAAAAACATCTTATTTACACAATTTCTTCAAAAAGCTTTTTATTTTAACAAAAGCATTTTCAAAAAGAGGAAAGAAATTTACCTAGTTATGCGATTATGGGAGTCTCTGTACCATTATTCGAATTACCTAATATAGTAAGATTTTTCAATACAGAGCAACTTAAGAAACACACACCTCATCAAAAACCAACCTCCCCACCACCAATATGCTCTAATCAGACCATTGTAGATAGCATTATATGCTAAAGTATAGTACTTCACTATTAAATGCTCTCACCATCTAGCTCTGTAATGTAATTTCCTTTTTCCAATGCTTACCTATATGCTAACGTTAGCCAACATATTACTTATATCGTATAATTCCGATTCCAAAACACAATGTTTTAGGAAATGGGAAACAAATTATTACGTTAAATAGGGGAATAGCATCTTTAGTAACTAGGCGACACCAAGGTAGAGTTTGATTTGCCCATCTACACATGGACTTTATAAAATGTATCTTGTTATAATTATTAAAACATCATTGCTGTCTTATTTGTCATTTCCCATGTGACAAACAAAGATTCTTCATGCAGATTATTTGGATTTTATTTCAGGAAATGGAGTGCTAGACTATAATTTATGTTAAACTAGATTTGGAAGTATTAGGCTAGGGTTTGTGGAGAGAGAAGATAAGAGAAAAGGGAAGATAGGAAGAAAGATAAGAAAGGAAGAGAACTTCAAAATCTCTATTTGTAAAATTATTGCTGATTTGGGAAAGTCATGATCTACCATTAGATAGACTATTTAGGATCTAATTTGGGATAGTTGAGAAAATCTCTCTTAAAATTTATTTCTTTTGATTGCTGATTTTACTATCCTATTAGAGTCGTCAATATGGGCTTGGCCCCGTTGGGCCAGCCTAACTTAACCCGTGATTTAGCAGGGTCGGGCTAGAATTTTTGGAGCCCATTTAAAAACGAGACATTTAAGCCCGGCCCGAATAAGTCCGTGGCCCGTGAGGCTTGACTAGGGCTGGGTTGGGCCGGCCCGTGGGCCTAATAAAATATTTATTTAAAATGTAAAAAATATACTGCTTCTAGCGATAGAAAATCAAAATTGGATCTTTACTTAGAGGAACCGAAGCTTGATCTAGAGAAGTTTCAAGAGATAGATGTTGTCATGTATTGGAAGGACCATTCTAGAAAATATCCCGATCTTTTAGTGATAGCGCATGATGTACTTAGTATTCCTATTACCACTATAGCATAGGAATCAACATTTAGCATTGCTGGGCGTGTTCTGACAAAGTATAGAAGTTGCATCCATCATGAAAATGTCCAAACACTTGTTACTACTCGAGATTGGCTGCACGACTTTTCCCAAAGTCAAAACTGGTAATATATTTTACGTGATTTGAATATTATTATTTTTTAAAATTTTATTATTCTTAATATTTAACTAATTAATATTGCATATGAATTATAGATGTAGATGAAAGTGAAGATGTTAAGCAACCTTGTCACAAGCTGATTGAAATGTATTTGATGAAGATGATGTGTTGGATATCCCATAAGCATCGTGGACGTTCTCTTGAATAGTTTGTTTTGAGTTTTGACTTTTGGTGAATGAAACATAGCCTTGTCTTTTACTTTTTTAATGTTTATTGTGATATATTGGAATAGTATAAAAAAATTGTTTAAGTTTTGCGAAATTTTTCCAATAAGATATTTTATAACTTAAAAATTTATCTTTTTTTAGGTTAGCACTTAAAGAAAAATATAAAATTATATTTTAAAGGAATTTTTTCCTAATTATACCATATATGAAACCTTATTACCAAAAATGTGCATAATTTGTTAATTACCCGCCCAGTCCACACTTTAACTACAATTTATATACCAATCCATAATTAGGCAGATTCTGCCATATAAAACGCGCGGAAAAAAAAAGGCACAAAATCTGCGTTTGATTCTTTCCACATTAAATTCGAAATTTGAAACGGAAAGAGATCTGATTGCTGCATAATTCTCTCTTTCACTACAATTCAAAAACAACGCAGAGCTTCAGAAGCTTCAACAACGCAATACAAATTGTAGAATTCAAAATTGTTCTTCATCGTCCTCAGTACTCAAATTGTCGAACCTATATCTGTTCTTTATCTTTTTTCTCTCAACTACACGAAATCATGTCAAAAATCCCAATAATGCTAAAATTGAATGGGAATTGGGATAACTATGGCAGATTTAGAGATTTTGAAGTTGATGTCATTGTATTAGATGAGAATGCAGGTTTGTGTAGTTCGAAAATGCTTAGAATTTTAGTTTTATGATATTATCTACAAATTTACTACATATATCTACAATTTGAATACAAGTTCTTTATTTGGTGCAGGAAAAAAATATTTTAATATACAGTGTCTCCAGATTGTAGATAAATTATAGGCAAATTGTAGTTTACTTGTAGTTTGTAGTTAATTTGTAGATAAATTGTAGATAAAATGTAGATATATTGTAGATACTATATTTTTAATATTGTAAATTTTTTTTCTTTGTGTTTGTTCTGAAAATGTAGGTGAGGGCTTCAACAAATCATATACATACTGTGTTGAATGGTGTGAAGCGGTACATTGTGTGTCTAGAAAACAAGAAATGTAGTTGTGGCCAATTCCAACTTGAAGAACTTCCATGTGTAAATTGTTTCCAGATTGTAGTTATAATGTAGGTTAAATGTAGTTAATTTGTAGTTTTTGTAAAATTTTGTAGACAATTTGCAGATTAATTGTGGATAACACATTTCTACGATTGGAGTATTTATTTCTTATTTTTTGTTGTGTAATTTATATTCAACTGACAGTTATATACAAATATTACATAGAACTTGGAGGTAAACATCTAAAAATTACCTACAGTTTAAGTAGGTAATATAAGAATAACTACAGTGAATGTACAAATTACCTACAGTTTAAGTACCTAATATAAGAATAACTACAATTTACCTAGAGTTACAGGGCAAACAGGAAACACATCATCCACAATCATGTCTACATTATATCTACATTTTAGACTACAATTAATCGTGGAATGTTCTACATAAACTACAAACTAACTACAATTACACTACAAACAGTAAATCTAGGTGAGGGCTTCAACAGATCATATCCATTACACTAAATCTACAATTACACTACAA